TAGGCAGGCCATCTCAAAATACGGGCATTTCTTTCAATTTGTACTTGTTTTGATATTTTATACCAAACGTCCAACGGTACCTTTGTCCATAAGGGTATTAGGTCAGAATCTATGTGTTTTTTAATGAGATAACGATCTCCGAGCAAGGATTGTAGGGGTGTGTTAGTGTAAGACATGTCTATCTCTTTCCATTTTGTTTCACATGTTGGGTCACACCAACCAACTATCACTCTCATCTGTGCTGCTCTATAATAGTCTTCCATATGTGGTAACGCCCAACCACCCTTTTCCTTTGATATTTGTAGTGTTCGAAATCTTGCTCTGGGTTTTTGTTTAGCCCAGATAAAATTTGAGATTATTCTATCCCAGTTGTGGAATTGTCTGTCGGGTATTTTTATAGGCAGAGCCTGAAAAAGATAGAGAAGCCTTGGTAAGAGGTTCATTTTTATTATATCTATTCGATTATATAGATTCATAGTCAACAACGACCAACGTTGGAGATCCGCCTTAATTTCTTCTGTCAGTGGAGTATAATTGTATTCAAAAAGGTCAGTTAACTCCGCTGGGATATTAACCCCAAGGTATTTTATACATTTATTGTCCCAGCAGAATCCGGACAGCTTCTGGATTCTTAGTGATGGTTGGTAATTGAATGAAAGGGTTTGTGTTTTCTGCAGATTTAATTTATACCCAGAGTACATGCCAAATATTTTCAATAGGGAGAAAAGGCTAGGTAGGCTGGTCTCCGGGTCAGTTAGCGTCATGAGGATATCATCAGCGTAGAGGCATGTCTTGTGCTCAGTGCCTTTAATATTTACGCCCTTAATATTCTTATGTTCTCTGATGGCTTGCGCTAGAGGCTCAATAAAAAGCGCAAACAATGTGGGGCTGAGGGGGCAGCCTTGGCGGCAGCCCCTTTCTAATTGTATTCTATCCGTTAAGTCCCCATTAATCTTAATCCTGGCAGAGGGAGATTCATACAGAGACCGAAAACAGCCTATAATTTGATTATTAAAGCCAAATCTTTCCAATGCTAAATAAAGGTAATTCCAATACACTGAGTCAAACGCTTTTTCTGCATCCAAGCTGATTGCTATTGATTCTATGTTTTTCATTCTGCCTATGAGATGAAGAGCTCGTCTCACGTTGTCATGAGTTTGTCTGTTATGGACAAAGCCAGTCTGATCTGTGTCTATAATTTCTGGGATTATAAATTCCAGCCTTTTAGCCATTATTGTTGCAAATATCCTGTAGTCAATGTTTAAAACAGATATTGGTCTATATGAATTGCACTCCATTTTATCTTTTCCCGGTTTAGGGATCACTGAGATTATTGCCCTTTTCCAAGATGGCGGTATTTCCCCTCCAGAGAGTACATGGTTAAAGCATTTCCCAAGCAGTGGGATGAATAGTTTTCGGAAGTGTTTGTACCATTCTGCCGGATAGCCATCCTCACCTGCCATCTTATTCCCTTTCATTTTTGAAATTGCTTTATGAATCTCCTCCTCAGTTATTTGTTGTATAAGTCTATTATTTTGATCTATTCCTATTGATGGTAGATCCAATGAGGAAAGAAACGCCCTCATTGATGATAGGTCTACTTTATGAGGTTGGGTATACAGTTGAGTATAGTATAGTTCAAAA